TCCAGGTTAATAGAAAAGCTAATAATAAAGGAAGGGTAAAGGTTGACTGACAAAAATAGCGAGCGGCAGGTACAACAGTAGCCAGTAAAGACGAAATAAGGTGAGGAAGGAATTATGTTAAGGAGGTTTGAGACGGAGAAGATAAAGAGAATAAACAGTTGACTACAGGCTTCGAAGGAACAACGGTGAGTGAATGAGGAGTGAAGAGAAGCAAGAGAAGGAAGAGGATAGGTAGAAGTCAAAGAAATGGAGAAATAAAGAGCAGCATACAAGGGAATCATGAAAAACACGTGATGAACAGTAGATGGGGAAAGCTCAAAATGAGTGATGGCACTAAGGAAATATAAGGTAATAATTAGGAGAAAGCACTAGGCTAGTTTGACTATATAGCACATTTTAAAGATACAAGGACAGGGATCTGAGGACAGAGAAAGAATGGTGCCTGATCACTTGACACCATTGCCGTCTAGCGTCTACCTGCAAGAAGTGAGGTCGCAGCACTACCGACATATCTAAGTAGATTAACTCTATAGGAAGTGTCACCTCTAAACCTCAGAGTCATCACCGAACTGTATTCGTCCCTGATGGCAGGTGATGGAGCCGAGTGTTCAACAGCTGCGGTCTCTAAGCTGCGGTACTAAAGAGAATAGTTCAACAGCTGCGGTCTCTAAGCTGCTGTACTCAAGAGAATAGTTCAACAGCTGCGGTCTCTGAGCTGCTGTACTCAAGAGAATAGTTCAACAGCTGCGATCTCTGAGCTGCGGTACTCAAGAGAATAGTTCAACAGCTGCAGTCTCTGAGCTGCTGTACTCAAGAGAATAGTTCAACAGCTGCGGTCTCTGAGCTGCGGTACTCAAGAGAATAGTTCAACAGCTGCGGTCTCTAAGCTGCGGTACTAAAGAGAATAGTTCAACAGCTGCGGTCTCTAAGCTGCGGTACTCAAGAGAATAGTTCAACAGCTGCGGTCTCTGAGCTGCGGTACTCAAGAGAATAGTTCAACAGCTGCGGTCTCTGAGCTGCGGTATTCAAGAGAATAGTTCAACAGCTGCGGTCTCTGAGCTGCGGTACTCAAGAGAATAGTTCAACAGCTGCGGTCTCTGAGCTGCTGTACTCAAGAGAATAGTTCAACAGCTGCGATCTCTGAGCTGCGGTACTCAAGAGAATAGTTCAACAGTTGCAGTCTCTAAGCTGCTGTACTCAAGAGAATAGTTCAACAGCTGCGGTCTCTGAGCTGCGGTACTCAAGAGAATAGTTCAACAGCTGCGGTCTCTGAGCTGCGGTACTCAAGAGAATAGTTCAACAGCTGCGGTCTCTGAGCTGCGGTACTCAAGAGAATAGTTCAAAAGCTGCGGTCTCTGAGCTGAGGTTCTCAAGAGAATAGTTCAAAAGCTGCGATCTCTGAGCTGAGGTTCTCAAGAGAATAGTCTGTTAATAACACGTAATCTCCGCACATACAAAATCAGATTGAATATTAAAAATGGACATCATTATGTACCCTTGGCGATCACAGAGTGTTAATGGGACAATAATAATATAATTTGGTTGAGCAATAAGGTTCACTCACTCCAGTCTAAGTACACTTCGGTGGGGGAGTATATATACCGTATGTATGTACACCTGACTGTTTTCTCTCTTCTACATATGTACGCACTCGTATACACACACACACGTTGCCTAAAAGAATGCATTATTTTATCTACATTGCCTGAATGTTTCCTTCAAGTGCGTCACTGTTTTCTGCAAAGTGCTTCGATATTAACAACAGAGTGCCTCAATGTTTACCACAGAGTGCTTCATCTCTGCTACAGAGTGCCTCGCTACTTATAGGAGTTCTTCAGTGCAAACTAGACAAAGGTCGGGGAAGAGACACAGGGACTCTAAGACACCGGATAAACATGGCTGCTACATGTTCATCCAGATATATATAGGGCAGAATTCATCAAGCAATAACCCATATACTTCCGAAACCTGTACATCTTTCCTCAATCATGGCGATTGTCTTTACATTCACTGAACAATTCACGAGCTTCGGGTCATTGCTCCCTAACTTTATTAGTGCTGTAAATTTATGGGCACTTAGCGCCCATAAACTGTTTAATAAATGTAAACAAATGTAGAAAAGATGTATAGGTTTCGTAAGTGGATGCGTGAATGCTTGAGAGACCCAGAATTATCTACTGCTGTAGTCAGCACTCACATTAAATATAGAACCCCAAAGAAACTGTGCGTAATACGCCATATCGCAGCCACGGGGAGCAGGGGAGACGGGACCTGGAGCGTATTAATGAGTGCTGTACTCTACATAAACAATTAGGACAGCAATACGTTGGTTTTTTTTCAGCCCTGTCCCGAATGCGCGATGAATCTTTAATCGTTGCTAAGTGAACAGTCACGCACGATAGAGGGGCGTTCTCGCCCACTGCTCTTATTACACACGCCACACTTCTTTTGCGCTTTTACGAAGGTTTCGTCTTGTGGAGGGTTCGCCATTTGGAGGGTTCATCTTTAGAAGAGAACTTAATTTTCATTGATTTTTTGT